CATTGGTGGATAAATGTCGATTAATTTTCTCTCTCGCTCTCTCTCTCGTTTCTTTTTCTGCTATGTATCGTACACTTGTACAGTTTTTCCTTCGTTTTCTTACCATATACACTAACACTAGCAGAAAGTTATTCGAAGATAACGGCTCGACATACTGCTGAGAGGTCGAGGTAGATCTTTATCTTCTCTAATATCGACACTATTGGTACCATTGTGATAACACAAATCATCGTATTTTTTTGATAAAAAATACAAGAAAGAAAAGAACAGGAAAGAATTATTGGTTGGACAACGAACGACTTCATCATCTCTACCATCAAGGTAATCACTCCTATTTCTTTCTATATCAAAAGGAAATGTCAATGGCTGTCTAAGGTCATACGAGAAGGCTTTTTTGTCTTCTTGTCCATGTTTTGACGGGCTAATCGATGTTCGTAGTTAGCCATTTTTTTTTGTATTGGTCTTATCAGTTCGAATACTGACATTCGGCCATGTGCCAATTCATATTGAATGACCTCCCTTCTTATCAGTCACCAGTAGTAATACCAGTCTGTTGCAATCATATTTTGAACCCCTCAAGGCTATTCATCCGATACAATTGTGATACGATGAAAGTGGAATAAATGATTGGAAAGAATGAATGAGTGAATGAATGTCCTGACCAAAAGAAAATTTTCATTCTAGATTTAAACATGCTTCCACAAATATATAACAGCCATACAGAAGATGGCTCATCTTCGACATTTTCTTTAAGTACAACAGCGAATAATACGACTAATAACAACGCCAGCAACAATAATAGTACTAGCGGTGCAAATAATGGTCAAGATGGATCGACAATTGAAAGCAATCATTCATCACCTGTTTGGCCGATTCCATCGACATCGTCATCATCTATAGCAATCCCAGTTAATACAAGCAATGGCTCACATCCACTGGCCAACCCAGATTTGTTCTCTCCGGAACCGTATTCAGTAGCAGCCATGGCTGTTTCACGCTACGCTGATGATCTCTATATGAATTGTTATTCGACAAAAATGAACTCACTCTTACTTGCACAAGCAGCTACCAATAAATTAAATGATCCAGCGAATTCATACAACCGTAGGATAAAATTTTCGATAGAAACATCACGCTCACTTTTCTTTTTATCTTTCGTAGCTTATTGCTATCCATTCGATGAACCACGTGAATGTGTCAATTGTGGTGCAGCTGCATCACCACAAAATACGCGTTGGAGTAAAGATGGTAGCGGTTTTAATCTTTGTAACAAATGCGGAATCTATTCATCTCGTACGCCTAAAATGTCTTCGAATTCAGCGATGTATTCAACTTCTACCAATCCCAACGATCGAAATATTCGAAAAACTGTACGTACATATATAGATCACAAAAGGAAACTGTGGAGAGGAAAACTTTTATTCTGTTTCTTTTCTCCTAGGGAGTTCTCCATCGTTCAGGTAATCAATGCGCGAATTGTTGTACAACGGACACGACTTTATGGAGACGAAATGCCAGCGGAGAAAGTGTTTGTAATGCTTGTGGTCTTTATTATAAATTACACGGAGTAATGTCTTTCTTTTTTCATACATCACACTCAGACTAATATTTGATTTTACATAGGTTAACCGACCATTGACATTAAAGAAAGATGGTATACAAACACGTAAACGTAAATCAAAAAAAGATAAATCACCTAAAACCATCGATGTTACACTTCTGAATAAGAACAGCCGTATGTCAACGCAAACTTCTCTGTCAATTTCATCTTCTTTTTTTGAAATCTTCTCTGTAGGACGAACGTCGCCAACCATGTCCGAAGCAGCCGCATGCTCATCTGAACACCATCAAGCATCCAATCTGGATTTATCACCACCACCACCTCAATTATCACAAACAATGCCAATATCTTCAGCAAACTATACAAACGGTTGTACACCTGATAACTTATTATTTTCATATGAAACATCGAACCCTCATCATCATCATCTTTATAACAATTATTATGCTCCATCGCCACCTATTAAACAACTTACATCACAATTTGATTATCATCATCATCAACAGCAACATCCACACCATCATCATCAGCAACAACAACATCAATCACATTATTATCAAGGTCATGCTGCTGCACTCTTCACTAAAGTAAAACACGAAAGTCAATCGCTGTTTCCACCCAATGATAATTCATGGATTGGACAAACAAATTTTGGTGTATGACAGAAATAAGAATTATTTACAAATACGTTTTCTTTTTCTCTTCTATTCATTGGTTTTTCGTGTTCGTTTAAGAGTCTCATGTCAGATATGCATTTTTCTTTTTCTTCTTCTATTTCTTCTGTACAGCTTTTGGCTTGTTTTCTTCCTTTTTTTCCTTTTCTTCGCTTTGTCTTCTTCTATTTTTTGTATAACAACAAAATACACGCAAAAATCATTGTTCAATGATTATCGAGTACTTTGTTTATTTTATGAAGTTTAGTTTCGTTCGAAAAGATAATCTCAACAGCATAATTTCAACGATCGGTTAGGTATATATGTATAAGCAATCGTTTTATTTATATATTCAATGAAGAAGCAGTCACAACGTCTAACCAAATTTCGGTATTCCATCAAATGCCGATGTGAATGCCCGTTTGCCAAATTTGGGATAGCCATGAAATAATCGAGAAAGTAAACGCTTGTGCTTCTTTTCATCGTATTCCACGATTGGTTTATGATTCTCAATATCATCGGCGGCAGACGCAGCAGCACTACAGCTACCGTACAAAGCGCATAATATTCGGAGATAATAAGCTTCGTTTTGTTCGTTATTCATGGATTTTTCAATACTTGAATCTGGTTCATTAGCTTCGTTGCTATTCGATGGATTGTGACGTTCGTTGAGTAGTAATGCTAATTCTTCGTCATTTGGGCTGGGTTCCGCTGATGTTACATATGACGTGTAACAGAATAGTTCGAGAAGAATAAGAATGAAAATGAAACGGTAAAAAATGTGATAAAACATGTCAATCTAAAAGAAAAACTCCCTTGTTTAAAGTCAAAAAGCTAGCTGAAATCATGTTTCTAACCTGGTTTCTTCTGGTATCTGTGCGATAGTCTTGTTGTTAATCTAAAATAGAATACAAATGACTAGTTTTTCTCGTTCAGTTCATTGATGATCAAATTATTTCTATGAGCATGCCGGTTAAAAATAACTGCATGCAATCGACATGATCTGCTCGTTGTGCTCTCTCAGCTACATATAAATTGATTAAATATTTTGTTATTGACAAAGAAAAAAAAATCTCATTACATTAGAAAGATTGTCAGAGAGAAAAGATAATAATACTACCATCGATGGGTAATTCAGAATAAATATGAGAAATGTAATTGAGATGCTCTAAACAGAAACTGTCTATGTCAGAGAGGTAAATCAAAGTCTTATGTATCGTCTACGGTACAGATCAAGAAATCTTCACTGAATAGATGATTTGCGCTTAACTATGAACAGACATTTCCAGTACTTCTTAACCTTCTTTAGGTATCTTCTCGAAATAGTGTAGATGTTGAAATTATCACATGATGGTTAGGTGATGGAAACGATCTCCGGGGGTTCACAGTGATGTATCATGCTTAGCATGCTGAAGAATTATTAATAAAAAACAGATTAGAATGCTCTTAAACTGAACTATATTCATGTATTAATATATCGAACTGGTTTCTCTACACTAATACACACGATTGGGCTGAAGAACATTCTTCGAATTAACATGGTAATGATAGACGAGGTTGTCGAAGATGCAGAGATGACTATATGGGTTACTTATACTTTCCAAGAGTAATTCTATTAGTAGAAACGACTAAAATGTAAATACTCGTCTTTTTCCGATAAGAAAACACTTCCTATCAACTTAAACTTATGTATAATTGTGTTTTCTTAACAAGGAAAAATTCTGTTTCTTATGTAATTAAACAAAAATCTTTCTGTAGATCTACGAAGAAGGAACAAGTGGAAAAACAAGCCAGAAGTGTCGTTCGTTGACGTCAGACAAATCTTTTATGAGTTGCTTAAATTTGTCAATTGACAAGACAGCATCAAGTCAATAAATACTAAGAATTATATTCAACTTTTATTTTCATCTCTCTAGACTATCTAGCGATAAGTAAAAGTATCGAAGAAATCGAGCCATCAACGAGGGTTCATTTGAAACTGCTAGTGCACATCAAATAAACTCTGTTATGTCATGATCAGACGTGTTTTTTTGTATACGATTGTAGGTTTCTTGCATCTCCGGAATGTGTTTTTGCTAGCTGAATAACAATCGTTTTGATAATATAGGAAAGCTGCGATGTATAATAAGTCGTAAATGTTCTCAAAAGGTTGACAATGTTTATTCGACATTAAAGAAATTGCTTACAAGGATTTTCCCATATTTCCGAAAATTTGAATGTTCGTGAAGATATCTACCGACAGAAACATGGCTATATTTCCCTGCATGAGTGATTATCTGCTCTGTCAATCTTAATAAATGATGTGTGTTGTGTATTTGAAACTCGAGTCTTATCACGACATGACGTGATGTTAAGATTCTGAAGTCATGCGGAATTGTGAAAGTCAGTGGGAGAGAGTAGACGCCCATTATTAGTGGAAAATGAATAGAAACGGTGCCTTGATTCTGTGTGCGAAGAATAATTTATTCGCAGCTCGTTAACTATCAGAATCTTAAAAGACGCGACCATGATTACTACTTCGGAAAAGATTACTTTGATCTTGTTTGAACAGAACGATTTCGCATTACCCTAGATTATTACATGGTATTACAGAGGGATGATCATGTCAAACCGTTTATTTGAACTCATGATAAAATAGTATACGGAGTAACGATAAGGAACAGGTAGATTGTGACCGTAATTCGACAGGGGAAAACATGTATGATTTGTCAGCAAAGCGACTGCTGTTTATCTATTTTTCGATGGTTCATTGTCGATGATCGCTATATCATATCGGACTTTTCTCTTACAGAAAACTCAATTTTATTCGATATTCTCTTCGTTGATTTCAACTGCAAGAGTATTTCCCGGTCGTCAATGTCACGAATCGGATAAGAAAACCTAATCCATATATGTTATTTTTGTCCATCAGGTCCATTTCCATGCATCCATCTTTCAGAATTCTTCTGCCGATTAGTTTCTTTCATGTGTACAAGGTTTCCTAATGCATCACTGTCAATCGTTTCTAATTAATCAAAAAGATAAGCACTGTTTGTGATTTCATTTACTGAAATGTAAATGAATCATATTATTTTCTTCTTTTTTGTCGAAACAAAAAACACTGATAGCATGAAAAAAGATTCAAAACGGTTTTGGTCGTCGGCGGGCCGTATACTTTGAATCTGGTCGTACTTCTCTAGAATGAAAATAGGAAAATTTGTCATTAATCCTCTTATTTCTTTTTCAAGCATTCATCATCCTACCTTCCTTTGTTTCTCCAACGATCTTTTTTCTCTAAAATCCACGTTCGACTCTTCTTCAATGATTTACCGCGAAGATCTTTGTATCGTTGCCTAGGAAACTCTTCGATTCTTGACTTTCATGAAAATTCCTGTTCTACATTACCGTTCTCTATCGAAACGTGCTTGTGTCGGAACATCCTCACTACCTTCTTCCCCAGTTAGCCCTTTCGGTAGTTGTTGAACTTGACCACCAGCAAACAAACACAAAAACATCCTTTAGACGACATTAAATATTAAAAGACAACTATTTTCGTTTATAAAATACTTTTTCGCTCGAGTACTGTTGGGATAGTCAACAACGAGACCTCCGGTAAAGCCAGCTTTCATTGCCTGTTGTGTGATCATATCAACCTAACGAACAGAACTATGAACGTCTTGGCACAATATGGAAAATAGACCTTACATGGGTAGGTGTTTCTGGATAGAACTGAAGTACTGCACGTGCTCCACGAGCCTGAATAAAAATCATGAAACAATACTCAAAATAGAAGTTTAACTTATAATTACTAAACAACTGTAGAGTGTTGAAAAGAATTTATATAATCTTTTCACGGGATTGTGACAACTTTTATCAGCTTGACATAACCATTGTAATGCTGAGATACTAAAATAACGAACATTTCGTGTTTCTCGATTTTGAACTCATTTGCCTGTTCCATACCTTATCGCACCATCGAACGATCCTGCACGGAATGGCATACCATAACCAATGTCGCCTAGGACGAGTTCACCTTCAACTTCTCGTTCTTGTGCTACATCTGCATAGAGAAAGTCAGAAATAACGAAATTGTCTAAAATACTTATGTGAATAAAATTCTAACCTAACATTGCAGTAGATATATCTAATCCAAACCATTGATGACCCAGTTCAGTTAGTACTTCTCCGCTTAAACCAGAACCACAGCTAAAGAAGAGGACTTTTAATCGAGATCAACAAATAATTAGGTAGTCGTACCCAATATCGAGTACTAAACAAGATTCTTCGTCGGGTAAATTGAGTAACTCAATAGCACGTTCGGATAATTTCGTTTGTACATCGATAATATGTGTACTAAAACGAAAAATGTTGTTTGTTTCCAATTTAAAATCGATTACAATCTACTTTTGCGAATATTTTCGGGCTTCTTCTTCGTTGTAAAACTAGAAATTTCGAAACAAACACGATACTTTTCTTTTTGATTATTCAAATTCGTCATACAATGTCCGGTGGACCTTGATGTTCGGGTCGTTTGGATGCCATTAATGAATTTGTGAACTGATCTGTATTATAATGAAAATCGACTTTTCGTTCGTTACTTCACGAGTGTATTTTATTGGCGAAGAGAAACAAACAATTTAGGGGTGAAAGCGACAGATGACACTGCATAACAATCTACGAAATCATATACGTTGCATAGAGATTTTCTTAAGTCTAGGTAAATCTGTACTCAGACAAAGGTTATGACATAGATGAGAATAATTCATTTGGAAAATTCATGATATTTTCTTGCTGAAACTAAGTGAACTCGAGTGCATTCTCTACGGGAAATGTCGCAAAGAAAATAATCATTTCTACAAAACGGAATGTTCGATCCGGTAGAATGCGCCTCGTCATTTACCCAATGTGTTTCTATCAAAAATGATCACTGTGGTCTCATCTAGAAAAACTGGACCCTCTAAATCAGATAAATCTGATCCATTGATCGAATTTGTTTTTATTATTATCATTACAACTATATACCAAAAAATGAGTTTGAGATACATAATTATCTACAGTACCTTCAGTGCACTGATATTGAATGAATAGATATTTCCCTTTCTTCAAGATCAAGTAGAGCTACTTTCTAAAATTGTTTCTTCTTTCTATTAATTAGTTTACGTTTGATAGTATTCATCGAAGTACTACTTAAAGAAAATTGTTTCGCTACCATTCTCTCCACTGACAAGCTAGAACATATAAGTACAGTGTGCTTGCAAAGAATCTGCAAGAACTAAACTTTAAGATATAATATTGAAAGAACTTAACAATGGGACTAAGTATAATCGAATGAGAATGTTTGTCTTTGAAATCTACTCTTGATATTTTTAGTGTATGTGCTGGCTCTTGTCGTCCTTTTTGCAATGACATTTAACAATGCTTTTTCAAATGCATCGCCATCCTCTTTAGACATTGACTCTTTGGTAAATGTTGTCGATTCGAGGATGATACGTCGGGAAGAATACGATCCATATGGTTTCAATTCCATTTTGAGTCGATATTACAAACGTTCAAGACTCGCTGATGCTACAGTTCCCGATGGCCATTATTCTCCCGATGAACTTAGCTTCTTCGAATAAATCTCCGATGAAAAGTTTTCTCTTCTCATCAATAAGAATCGTTTTAAATAAAAAAAAAACAAACTCAGCAAAACATTTTCAATCATAGTTTTCCTTCTCAAATAAGAGATTTCGCACTAATAGCTGACAAATACCGCAGATGGAAAATCGATAGTAATATACATCAATTCGTTTTCTTCTTTGTATGGACATAGACATTACTGTCAAAATTTTTCCAAGCAAAGGGCCATGTGGTGGAAGAAGAAAGCAAGATTTTATGAGTACGTTTATTTGACCCGTTGACTTTCTACGAAGCAGTTTTCACTTGTGTCAATTAGCAGTTTCATTTCGAAAGAAAACGGAGCGATAGATTCTTGACATTTGAAAAGATGTGCACTTTGAAATTCTTAACCCAAAGATAAAATTATACTGATCGGTTCATTTTTCACTATTATATAATAGATTGATGGTGCGAATGAATAGTTTATATGTGAAGTATTCGAAACAAATCACGACACATGCTTCACTCAGTTGTTTCGCATCCTTGCCATAACTAATAACGAGAAAAAAGAGGTGTACAACTCATCGACACAACCATAAAACGACCGACGTCACTCGATCGCCCATGCACACACGCGCGAGTCAATCAATTCATTAAAAATCACACGGCACAATGATACCAACAGAGATCGATTTTCATCGAGAGTGACGAAACAGAAAAGGAATACATTTTTAACCAATCAATTTTTAAGGTCAACACTGATTGTCATTAGAATAGACAACGCATATGTTTGCTCATTTGTTTGATGAGCAATCGGTAGATAACACAAAAGATGGCACAAGAAAACAAGTCATTAGGATTGGACAAGGGTCAATGCGATGGGAATACAAACGTCAGGTTGTCTTACCCCCGTAAGCGTTGACAAACATACTTCAATTAATCTCTCTTCTATGTATACAAATAAAACTTGACGTACATATCCATCGTTTATTCTTGTCAACTATCCTCATCGATAGTATGGGAAAAATTAGAAGAGTGCAGATTGCAAATTTTTCAATGTATATATATTTATAAGTAAAGAGAGAAGACAAAAACGAGAGAAAGAGAAAAGACAACAATACAAGCGCGAAAAAAGGAAAAAAAAGAGAACTTGGAAATGTAAATGGAAAGAATAGTTTGATTTAAATTTGGAGTTTCATTTCTTCTAGTTTTGCTTTTCTAAGAGTCTATGATACAAGTTCTTCATCTACTCTTTCGTCTTCTGGTTGATCGTCGATCGATGAAGACATGTTCGATGAAATATTATCATCTTCATCATCTAGATATAAATTAACTTGTGATTGATGTTTACCATCAGATATAATTGGACCAGTTGTATGATAACGATGAGACATTGCATTTGGTCTTGGTAAATGTAATTTCGGATTTGGATTAGCTGAATGGCGATTTCGTGAACGACGCGAGGAGAACATCATCGTACAGCCAGGCGTGGTGCAACGATGCATTTCGCGTAGATGTACAGCCGAGAAATGGATTTTGAGCGCACCTTTGTCACAGAATGTTTTCATACAAACATTACATTGAACGCGCTTTTTTCCATGTGGACTGATCAAAATACGTTGTTCACTTAGTGAAAGACGCTTACGCGCTGCTGCTGTTGTTGTCGATGAGTGATTTGAATTGTTGTTAATATTGTTGTTATTGTTTGTTAAACTACTTGTTGATGACAAAGAACTATCGGATATTCGTGCAATTGATTCGGTTGATGCTGGTAATTCTGATGGTGAACGCGATGTTGTTGAAAGATTTAATGGTGAACAAAGGCGTTTACGTTTGTTGGAACTTTTTCTTTCAATTACATTGTTGTTTATTTCAGGTAAATCGTAATGTTTACCGTTGATTTCTTCGTTTGCTGATGAAACTGAAAGAGAAGGAAGACTCGATGCAGCTGCAGCAGCAGCGGCGGCGGCAGCGGCAGCAGCTGCTGTTGGTAAAAGATTATTTCCAATGCGACGAAAATCATAATTCATCATCAGAGGATTCGAGAGTTGTGCCATTAGAAGATTCATCATTTGTAAATCTGTTGAAGGCCATGGTGATGGAAATGGAAATGGTCCAGGTGGACGAAGTAAAAGATTTGGTGGTGTAGCCGATGATATTGTTGGTGGTGGCAGAGGTAGCAGCGAAGGAGCAGCTGAAAGAGCTGCTGATGGAACACGCATTGGTTTTGATTCTGTTGCTGAAGGTGACGGTGAACGACCATTCGATGATGGACAATGCGGAGAGCTACGCTGTTGTTGTTGTTGTTGGGCTACTTGGAGAAAGTATTGGGCAAGTAAACGAGTTGATTCAAAACGGAGAAATTGGGGTAATAAATATTGATCTTCTTCATCGGACGATGGCATTATTAAATTGAAATTTGACGAAGAATTATTGAAACTCTAGATAGAAAGAAGAAGAAATAACAACGATAATTAACATTGAATTGATAATTTTAATCGAGAGAAGAAAATATCGAAGTTACATAGTCGACACTTGACACATTTGTGATCAAACCTTACGTTGTTCTATTGAAGGTGTCGGTAGTCAAATAGAACAGCTCATCGACAAGTATATAATAAATACGGTGCGTACAAAGATCAATCGATTGCATGACATTCGATGTCGGGTATCCTTCATGATTACACTTATCGCATTCTGGTTTCTATCATAAAAAGACGATGCAATTTCAAAAATGACAAATCCCAGAGAAAAAAAGAATGACGACTCTAAACCATCATTCTGATGAGATTTTTTGTTCTAACCTCTAAAAGTACTACTTGAAATGGTCACAAGTTCAAGGGTGAATGTCGATTGATATGGCACATATTGAAGGTCCAGAGAAGAAGAAGAAGAAATTATCCGGTTCATTGACAAATAATTCTCTCGATCGCGAGATTGTTCGTCAATGGACAAAGAAGAAAAAGAAAACTAAGGATCATATTTCATCTCTTCGTAATTGAGTTCACATTAGTCAAAGCATAAGAGCTAGAGAGAGTGAAGATTGATTTCTTTCGGTCAATATAGAAACAAAAAAAAGCTGGTGTTCATTCTGGTACAACGTGTCTGGACACAGATAGAAATGTAGAAAATTTTCATTGATCAATAATTCAAATCATACATACATGCTCTCTATAGGATTTTTCATAGTCGTCAATAGACCATTTTAATGATTTTAAAATATTATCTCGTTCGGCTTGAGTTAATGTATCTAATATATGGTCAAGTAAAATTTTAATGCGTGGAGAAATAACCGTTGTACCATATAAACAAAGTGTGCATAATTCATAGATATGTTCAGCAGTTAAATGTTTAATAACATCATCAGTATCTAATTCGTTCAGATTGACAACTAGATGAGGAAAAAAGACACACAACTTAGGTTAGGAGGTCTTCCGATGTGAACAAACTTACCATGGTTGACAAAACTATGTTTACATTCGTCACACGAACGTACTGATAGGTTACAACTATTCCCCGGAAAGAACTGTTCACATTGACAATCAGCAATGTTACACTTTAATACAGTCTAAACGAAATTGAAAAGAAAAATGATATTTTAGATTGTAAATACGAATGTTCGATCAGCTCTCATTTCTCTTACTACCTTCATTCTTCAATGTATCTGTGTGTGCGACGAACCAATGTGACAGTCACAAACATACATGCACGCACGACAACTTTTTTTCTACTTTTTTTTCTTCGCTTGCTCGTCTTCTTTCTCGTGCTCTCTATCTCCCTTCCTTTTTCAGTGCTATTTCGGTTAAGGCGACGAATGACAATGCAGCATCGAGCTATTTCGATTGGTCGCACATATTCGACACTCACACTTTTTTCTTTTACAATTCTCCTTTTCTCTCGTTCTTATTCTCGCGTCTTACATCGCTTATTTCGTCGTCCTATTCTTCTTCGTTTCTTCTTTTTTTTCGTGCATACAGACATCGTGCTTATCAGTGGAATTTTCGTACGGCTGCTGATGCTTCTGGTGATGACATAAACACACACGCACACATTGTGCTTTTCATCACATCGGGGTTTCTCTTTGATAGAAATTTGAGATGTGCACACATCTATACGATCGAACAGATACACAATTTCGTTTGATGAGCAAAAACATTAACTTGAAATTAGCAAAAGACAAAAGAAGAGGCAAATGATGTCATTTCAAACAAGCGAATTGATTGTTGTAAAAAGACAATAAGAAAAGAAGAAAAACATGAGAGGCGAAACCAACGAAGAAGAGAAGAAGACACAGCAGGTCTTATCAATCGAAACTACACTTGTGCCTCATTCGTCATTCACTTTCTTCTTTTCTCTTTTTTCCTTAATCGAAAACAGACATAAGAAACTATTTGAAAAATACACATGCATGCATACACAGGTGCTTGTCCCATCACACATAGAAGAGAACAATGTCATCGATTGTAAAAATTAGAAAATGTCCATGGTGATTGATCACAACGACCTCATCTGTATGTGTGTATTTGAATGCATGTCTATAGCATCGACATGCGAAAACATGTGTCGGCGATTAGAACAACAATACGAGAGAAAAATAATGAACTACTAGTGCGAAAGAGAAAGACAGAAAGACCAACGGGTGGTCACGGATGACACTAGGGTTCTAATGAGACAGACAGTTAGATCGGTTGCTCTTCTTCGTTTTCTTATATCTGCACTTGTATGTTGTGCTGCATACGCTCAATTGCTTGTTCTGACCCTCAATCATGTTCTTTTCCTTGTGTGCCATGATTTTTTGCCTTCTTCTCTCCTTCGTCTTTTTTTGTGTCGATGTCTACGCGAATCTGTGTGCATGTGTATGTACGTGCTTGTTCTACGTAAAAATGAATTTAGTGATAAGCACGTCAAAAATGACAAATTGCTATGATGGGCTTCGTTCTCAATATGATGCTGATGACGAGAAAAGAAAAGCTACTCTCGCTTGTTGTCGTCGTTGATCGTCATCGTTCTTCCATAAACAACTTCCGATTCATGTCACTTTTCATCTGTATGCGTTAGGATAATGTCGACAAACGATTTTCAACGATGTCGTTCTCTTGACAAGGTGCTTGTTTGATTTATCACCTTCTTCGTACGATTTTCTATGTGTATATTTATCTATATATGTCATTTTGTCGCACACAAATCTTATTAGTCGATTCTGTCACCCAATGGGACAAATGTCATCTGTCTCTTTTCTACTAAAGAACGAATGAAAGCGTGAGAAAATGTGAAACGAAGAGAAAACAAAGCAGCAAGGAAGGAAAGTAAAGAAATTTAAAACTATCTTACCGTTGTTTTATTTTTCTTTATCATATAACCAACCATTGTCTTGTCTTTTCTAACTCACGAAATAATTATTGTAGTATGTTGTTCTATCTCTTTGTCTCTGATTGACCTATGGTCAACTACTGTAAATGTGAACGAGAGAGACACAGAGAAGAAGAGAGAGACGAAGAGAGAAAGGGGAAAGAAGAAAAAGGTGTTCTGTTGTTGTTGTACATCATCGACGCGTGATTAGCAGTGACAGTCGTCTTCTCTCTCTCTTGTGTTTTGTTTTTGTTGCTCGGGCATCGGTCGCCCGCCGCCAGAATGTTCACAATCCCTCTTGTTCTCTCTCTCTCTCTCGCCTCTTCGATAGCATCTTCAAATAATTGTTCTTGAAAAGGAAGACAAGGGATGATCGCTATCTATCTGTTCTCGCTTGCTCGAGGATGTCTTCATCTTTTCTTTCTTTTTCTGTTCATTGCTGTAAATGCTCATCGCAGCAGAAAGCGTCCGATGTTTGACCTATATCTTGGTCGTCCCATCACATCGGACATCCC